GCCCCGTAGTGCGCCCCCGCGCCCGTAGTGCGCCCGCACTGCGCTCGCCCCGAGCCCCGCAGCCCGGCCCGCGCCCCGACAAACATCGGTCGCTCGGTTTTGGATCGCGTTTTTACTAGTTTTATTGTTTCGGTCAGCTATGGGCGCTGTCGGCTCGGGCCGCTCTAGGGTAACATTATGGTTTCGGTAGAAACCGCTCGCTAGCTCGCACGGCGCCGGCGACCATGGGCCGGGGGCGGCGCCCGAGGCCGAGTCGGGCGCCGCCCGCCGCGCGAGCTCAGTCTCTCGGCGAAGTGTCACTCGGTGTGTCGGCGACCTCGGCCTGTGCCGGGGCGTCGCTTGTTTCGACCATCGTATTACCAACATGACGCAGTCCTTGACACCCAACTTCTATATAATATTTACAGAAACATAGTTGTTACTTCGAGTACGATACCGATCTGGTGTTATTTTCAAGTAAACTTAAGTAAATGTTGTTTGTTATACCCGTGCAATAGCGTGTTTATTTAAATAAACATCTTCAAGTCGAGGCGACAAAATTTTACATTTATGTGACGATATTGGCGTACAAAATTTATTTGTAGCTCGTATATAATACTTTTAATATAAAAATATAAAAGAAAAAAAAAACAAAAAAAAATTAAGATAACGACTCGAACAGTGCAGAAGGGAAAATACTGATATATTCATTTTTCTTTCGTAGAAGTAATTCGAACGACGACGTACAACGTGCGACTACTCTGAAGTATCGAGCGCTAGTGCCGCTCTGTGTCTAGGTTTATATTCCACTTACTAGCAGTATACATAGAAAACTGAATACATAGAATTTTTTCTGCACGTCTCTTGCTAGCTTCAATATGAACGTATTCATGTAAACAAACATATATACTGTACTGCAGTATATTCTAACGCATAAATGTATTTTAATGTAGTATTAATTTAGTTTACTCATTTCCTGTCTAACTTGCATTTCATTACGAACTAGGCGTCATCCACTTACTGTTGCTATACCAATGTGTTTATCTTTTAGAATTTGCTTTCGAGTTTCATATCATCCTTATTGTTTCACACCTTATGTACTGTTCTATAATTTCCTTTTGTAATGTAAGTCACCAAACGTGTTGTAACATCAAATTCCTTGTCGAGGCTCATACACGTAGGTAGGTGACGCCACGGTACGATCACTTTCAATTTATACATATTTTGTATTCATATACAGAAGGTTAAATATGGAACCACCTTGTTAAATGAAAGAAATCGTTAATGTGTACAACCAACCACTTTACTAGCTTACACTCTAAAATTATTCCATGCTAATGAATGTTTTACTATTTTGAGTATGTACTAAACAATAAACATAATATATTTTAATTCATAATTATCGATGATAAATACAACAAAAGTGTCACTTCAATCTGAAAATGGTTTTTGTTCAACAGGGAATGAGTATTTAGTAAAATAATATATTATATATCGCAACGCATTATGTAACCTTCACGCGCGCCTGTGTGTGTGGGAGCAAGCAGAGCCACTGTGGCCGAGTGTTTGTAACGGTGGATGCATTACGTAACAGTAATTAATCTTGCATTTTCATATAATATTTTACATAGCAGACATTTATCTAGTAAGTGTTAGATATTTGTCACTGTACCGGACGATAGTATTGTAGTAATGCGAATGATGTACCCGGCTCTATAGTTATAAGTAAATTAGATGTGTAAACTACAAGTTCACAGCAATCTCTGGTCGTTTGGTAGTAAATAGACGCTCATAGAGTAATTGGATATCAATAACAGTGGATGTTATGTACCGATACATGCGTATCATGGAAGCATGTGGCGTGTAATCGTCCCTATCATAATGTTAATGTACCATGTCTATCGTCTACCTGTTATCTAGTCTCCTGTCTGGACCGTAGCAATGCATCCATCGATTTCTGTTTGTATCGCTTCATATTAAAATAAATGGTGTATGTAGCAAACTATGTTTTATTTCCTTATTTTTTAATAACTACCTTAACAGTAGTAACTACCCTTTACATTTTTTATTTAATCTAATAATAGATCTTTACCGGTCCCTAATGTGTTTATGAGCTATTTTACATGTTCCCTATTGCCGTATTGTATGAGAAAAATTAAACGAATGACTGGTGTTGCACGGACACCCATGGGCGGCACTGATCGCTTACCATCAGGTGATACGTCTGCCTCCTATTCTATAAAAAGCCTTGCATTGAAATAAATGCATCTTTGCTAACACAGTGGCAGATTTTTGATGCCCTTAAAGAAATCAGCTGGACGGAAGGTAACAAATTCTTCAAAGGCATTTTGTACTCTCTCTCGGGTATGGATTTTTTCCCGCCAAGAAGTTATCCAAATTTTGGGAAAAGTAGTCGTCTGGCTGTTGGTGAATGATGGAGAGCTGCGAACCCCCAGTTTTTTGCAACTTTTGAAGACTTGAAGGCACTTTTAAGTTAAAAATTTAAAAAAAACTAAATGACAATAAAGGTACCTAAATTTGGAATAGGTACCCCAATTATGGAATACTACAAAATACGATTAAAACTAAACCGTAACTTACATAAAACTCTTTCAGAACTTTGGTACAACATAGAAAGGAACACAAATTATTTGCAAAAGTCACAAATCCTGCTCCTGGGCAATCAATATATAATAATAAAGTCCACATATGTCGCACTAGACCCATGTTTCTCTATGAGTATCATTCGGAAATAGCAAACCACAGAAAATACATTCCGAATCTTTAGGGTCTGGAGTTGTATTTCCTATCAAAGCATCGGGGTCACTGTCTGTATCAAACAACAACGATGGACCAGTCCATAATTGGATTTTGCAACGACTTCAAATTGACATTCATATTTCTATATCTAAGAAATAAGTACAATTAAATACCACCAAAATCACCAAAAGAACATCTAAACTGTCTCTAAAAGTTGTAAAAACTATACGGTGTGCACTTTTTGAACGAAAAATGCGTGCAAAAAGTGCGTGCATCTTGCGTGTGTGAGTTTTAGTTTCTTAGTATTGTCGGTATTCCATATATTTTTTTAAGGGGGGCAAATCATCGAATGGCAAATCATCGAATGCAGTGTCAGACTCTTACCGACTAAAAACCACCCCGTTCCTTCTCCTGTAAGTCGAGCCCCGATAACCCGTTAGGTTCTCCGCGACAGGTATTCCATATTAGGGATACTATTACATATTTGGTTACTTTCTTCTAACAAAACGGTTCAAAATTTCTTCATTTGTGTGGCTGTTGAGCAGTGCGAGGCATGTCTCGACACGTATGTACTTCCCCCGGTGATCACTGAATTCGTGGGGCACCCATTTGTCAAGTATTTTAACCTTGCCAATTTGACACAAATGGACCAATATTGTTTTGACGCTTCCGTCAAAAGCTGCTGCTAATTCAGCCGTAGATTGTGTATCAACAGCTTCCACAATCGCCTTTAATTCATCATCGACCAATATCTTCGGACGACCGCGAGGTTTATTTTTCAGATCGAAATTTCCAGAACGGAAGCAACAATTTGGCATTCTGTGTTAATGGGTAGGTATCAAGGAAGGAAGAAAGGAAATTGCACTTAATTAAAATTCTCTTAGATAATTGGCAGTTTATTTTATTTACACAATAATAGATAACAATGACCACATGAACATGAAATACGAAGGAACTTAAATATTGTATTAATTTGAACTCGATTCATAAGATGAGTGATGCGCAAATAAAATATATTCATTAAAGTATAATGTAGTACAGCAGACATTTGTCATTTAAAAATCAAAACTACAAAACAAAATTAACATTGACATGTTAAAACACGTACATTTTAAGTACTAGGCGACTCGTGCAAAGTATCACTAGGGTTAAGTATACCGCTGCGGTGTCGAGAACTAGGAGAAACCTTAACATACTAATAAACAAACAACTTTGCAGTCTAACCACAATCCCTGCGAATGGACAGAATTAATTTAAACAACCGGCTCACTGCAGCAGTCGACTATAGGCTGCGTGACGAAGAAGGATCTAGAGGAATTTGTACGATTTTGTTTTACGTTTAACGATATCGAAACGAGACCGTGTTCGCCGTTATTTTCAATCAATTGATTTTACAGACCTAACCAAAACCAACAAAAAAATACATAGTACCAACTGTCTGCTGTCCTCCACTTATCTCGCAGTACTCTATCATCACGCCCTGCTCCCCGTAGCTAAAGTAATCGGCAGAGTAGTGTACTCTGCGATCTCACAGCATATCGCTCGATATTGACCAATTACCTCAGGAAGACAGATTACAAATCACTGGGAATTTAGAAAAACGAATAACTTTTGAGTATTGTATAAACATGTAGAGGTAGAGGTATCTACGCACAGCCATTTTGAGTAAGTTCCAAATAAGTGTTGAGTATTGTGAGCTTTATAAATCTGTCATTTTAATATTTATACAATATTTGCTTGTCTTCCTCCTTGCACACGTCACATACAATTTGAAACTACATAGCACAATAACACAGGTCGACTCTCTCCATAGCCTCAACCTAATCTTATCATAATAGTGCTTCCTTATGGTCCCAGTTCGATAGTTCTTCCGTCACAACTTTCTGGCATTTTTTTAGATGGAATACCTCACAGTAACCAGGCGTGTTTATGCTCTATAGTAGGGATCATAAGGTTTATTTTAAAATTATGATAAAATCCTTCTAACCTTCGGCAACAGTCAACACACTTTTCTATATACAAATAATAACTATATGTAATATATAATAATATTATACTGTACAAATAATAACATCTACCTATGTGCAGTAATAAACTCATGTTATACTTTCAATAATATACTTTTAAATATTTCATAGACAACATTTAGAGACCAATATAATAATATGACAAGATTGAAATACAAAAGGAACGTCCAACGTTTGGCAAATACAATACTATAGCAAGACGGAAGCGAAATATTTATAGAAGAAGTCACACACGCGATTTATTAAATCCTAAATATAATTTATTTTATAGAACCCCTCTAGTAGCGCCATCTATAGTTTATTATCACTAAGTATTTAACCTGATAAGTTGCCGCTTTATATTTTAGCGTTATGACTAAGATTATCGTTAAAATACTTTACCCACACAATACAGTGTGCCTGTACGGTTAAGCACAGAACACATGCCCCATAGCCCGCAATGAAAGACGTCAGGATAGTACCTACAACACGTGATAATTGATGATAACAATGATTACCTAACAACATCGCAATTATATTTCCATTCATTGCGGATCATAAATATTTTTCTGGAACTAACATGTGATGACTTTTTTTATTCCGCAATAGTTATAGAATTTAAAATCTAGCGCCATATTTTGTTTCATTTGTCTAATCTATGATAGGTACATATTGCTAGTTAACTACAAGCTACAAAATGATTAGTAGCAAGTATACTAACAGTATGTCATAGTACCTACTGTTAGTTCTGTATATTTTTACGTGTAACATATTGTAAACTGCTATTTAGTTAAAAACAAGTCTTTCCTGTGTGACAATAATAATTTTAAGACAATATTCACTTTTGTATAATTTGAATAATTATAGAATTTATTAAATTGTAGAATTAATTATTAAACTGTATAATTATAGAATTTAAACTCGAATAAAGCTGCTATCTCAATCACTATCCTCCAACTAAGGACAGTAACGATTGATTATATTATCTATTGTCTGAACATACTTATATATTGGCGGTATATTGTGTTTCATGGCCGAAATTAATGAACAACTTAATTAAATATCCGGATTTTAACAAAAGTAATGGCCAAAGTCGATCTAAATTCTACATTTTGAGATTGAGATGGATAATATAGGATTTGAGGGATGAATAAATACAAAAGAGGGGTGAATACAAATTGGAAAACTGTTACAGTATCTATTCACCCCTCGAGTTTTACTGACAACATTTTACCGTTAGGATTTTAATTTCGGCCGTTAACAGACATTACTAATTAGACATTTAGACAGACGACGGTCTCTGTGTGCCGCAGGGGTTTGCCAGACACCAGCACGTATGTGACAGATGTAGCTGGCTGGGCCTGGCCGGTCCGTGTCTGAGCGCGTGCTATCGCCTCTGTTTGAGTGCGATGAGTTCGTCGAGCTGTGCCTTGTAGAGCTGCGTGACGTCCTGCAGGTCCAGACGTAGCTCCGCCATCTGTTCCTCCTTCTCGCCGTACATTTGGAGGAGTGCATCGTATTGCTCTTGTACCGCCTGTAAGTAGTATTGTGGATTAGATGACAATAAAAGTAATTGTGCAAACTTAATATCAAAATTACTTTGTTTGATTGTTATAATTAAGCAGGTTACTAGTTCACTTGGTTCATCAAATTTTTATTTGTATAAAATTTGCATGCCTCAAGGCGTTATATGGTCGGAAAATCTACTTATCTGCTAACAACTTAATTTACCCATATTAGCAAATAAATGATTTGATTTGATCTCTCCGGCGGGATGGATTTTAAAAGATAAAAAAAATATGGGACGCTTATAATTTTTTAACTTAACACATTGATACTTCTCTATTGATCTAGATACCACTGACCAACGGTAAAGGAAAACATCGTGAGGAACCTGGGCTTATAATTTTTAATGATAAGTTTGTCATTACCAGCCCACATTGAGCAAGCGTGGTAATTAATGCTCAAACTTTGTCCATGCGAGAAGAAGCCTTTGGTCAGCAATGGCCGCTTATAGGCTTTTGATGATGATGACATTGATACTTTACATCTTGTAGATTATTAAAATCATTGGAATAATAGATACCGCGACAGTCAGGTTTTTGTGACTTTCCATCTATCCAGACTTCCATCTAATAACGGTTAGTGAACCTGTATACTTGTAAATGTTTCATTGTGTGCGGTAGGTACATGCCCATGGAGTACAGTAGACGTACATGCATGTCATCGAGCGCGGCCTGGCAGGTGGCGAGCCTCCTGGCGAGCAGGTCCCGGTCGTGCAGCAGGTGGTCGCGGTGCGCGGCGAGGGCGCGCAGCTCGGCGTCGCGGCGCCGCCCCGCGCCCGGCGTCCAGCACCGCCCCGCGCCCAGCGCGTCCTCCACGCACAGCGCGCTCGCAGGCACCGCGCGCGCCGCGCCGCCCTCCTCCTGCACCACGACGACATTGGGACATGAGTCGATGATCTTAGACGTGGAAGTTAGTTGAGAAAAGTTACAACTAATTACTCATAGTTGATAAGATGAAATTCAATAAATACAAAAATGATGAGATCAATTTAGAAACAGTGGCGTAACTACAGAGTGGCAAGTCGACAAAATGCTCGGGCTCCCCAGCTGGGAGGAACCTCGTTAAGAGGTTTTCATCTGAACTTCTCTGTTTCAATTGGTGGGCCCATTCGATGAATTTGCCACGGGCTCCGAACGGTATGGTTACATTAATTATATGAAACCGATGAGTTGGTATTAGCACTGTTGATTAATTATATATAATGCAAATACTTAAACACTTCATTTATTGTAACACATAACATAACATCACGCCTTTTTATCCCCGAAGGGGTAGGCAGAGGTGCACATTACGGCACTTAATGCCACTGTACAATGTAATACCCACTTTTCACTATTTATGTTACGAGTCCCGTGTAATCGGGGGTGAGCCTATTGTCATATATCGGGCACATTTCCAGACTCCGTGCTACTACTGAGATTTTTAAAAACCCAGTAATACTTTGCCTGACCCGGGAATCGAACCCGAGACCCCTTGCCCGGCAGTCGCACTTGCGACCACTCGGCCAACGAGGCAGTCTTATTGTATGAAATTTTAATTATATAAACATAAATATATAGAAATATAAAGACAGGCAATGAAGAATACATATTATTATACAGAATAGCAGTGGCGTGCACGGGTTTTCTAGACAGGGTAGGCAACTAAATATCGTATGAATAAATAAGCCAATAATTGAATAAGCCAACAAAACTTACAAATAATGAAGGATCTATTTATTATACTAATAATGAAGCTTAATTTTGATGAACCAAATTCCATTATCCAATTGTTAAGTTTAATCAATCTGTTCAAAATCATAATATATTACGAATTTAAGAGCGTAGGTACCTACATTATGTCAACAAACAAAACAATAACAAGCGCGGCCGGTTGTGGCCGAGCCGAGTCTATGCGGTACATTTGTTATTACATTACATTACATAATTATTAATAATAAATTAATATGTGAATCAGTACAACCCGAAGTCTAAGTTACAAGAAAATCAAATAAAAGATCCATTGTAGTACATATTTACATTACCTACCTTTTACTTGGGTCAATTCTCGTAACTCGAGTACACCTCTGCCTATGGTCATTACTTGAATCTAGTCCGATAAAGGACATTTTCTTGCGAAATCTTACTGTTTTTACTTTCAACAAACACATAAAATTACCTATTATCCACACAAACTTCACAATCGAATAATATAGGTTCTTGTACTAGAAACTGATAAACAAATACACTATTTGAAAAACCTACACATATATTTAACTACTTCTACACATTTTTATGCAACTTTATGTTTAAAACTAATTCCTAATAATTTAAACGAAAACATAAACAAAGCGATCGCACATCACATGAAAACAATATGGCCGAAAATATTGGAAATGAATTGAAGTCATTACCAATAGTCAATTGATTGTTTATTATAAAAAAAATGTAGCTTAAAAATTAAGGTAATGGCAGCGTTTAATTTAAAAAAAAAACAAGGGTTAATTTAGTAAAATGAAATTGCATCATCGTCTTAAACTAATATTTCATACTAAAAATCATTCATTCATATAATTTGAAACGTCGTAAATGGCGCCATCTTGACGTTTCAATAACTTCCTTTTAACTTTTATAATAATAAAGTCAACTCCTCGTTTAAAATTTCTATAGACCGACAACGCGTAAAAATGTTTAGCTTTAATTAAAACACTTGAAACATATTTGTTAAATACGCATTTATAAAAAATACATTCGCATTATATCGAACGAGTTCAGAAGTTTCAACAAAAAATTCAATAGATGGCGCTGGTGTACTCAATTCATCAGTACTTTACTATATACAGATTATATCAATTTAATAATTTATATTTTATGATTTAATTGTTTTTAAAAATACAGTTGCTGTTTTATTGTTTTAGAATTCCTAATAAAATACGATCGTTTTCCAAGTCCAAGTTCCAAGAATGAACGGTCCTCTAATTTTTTAGTTGCACACATTTTGTCAATGAACAGGAATCGTGTAAAATAATTATGAATGGTAATTCTGTACCGTGACTATGGCTTCACGCATGCGCGATGCATACTTTTGGTACATTACTTTTGTGACGTCACAACTAGCAACCAAGATTTAAGGAATAGTAGCGCATGCGTGGTGCGTGCGGGGCGCATTCATTGCTTTACAAAGGCGTGCGGTCCGTGTATTGTTTATGTGAATGTATATTTATGTTAGCCGTTTTTTTACAAACTTTTATTATATTATTGAATCTTAATAAACGCGTTTGTACATTTTATGTATGTTATATATTCACGATATTTATAAGGTAGGCGAAGCCTTTCGCCTATATGGACTGCACGCCACTGTCAGAATAGTATATACGTACAGAGTGCCAGAAGGAAGCTGACAGAGAGTCCGAAGTAATGGACTGCGAAGGAGACACCTCGCCACCGCGACTCGATTGCTCCTGGAAAGTTAAAGAAAGAAAATTAAACATGTTAGAAAACAGGGCTTTCTCATTTTTTTGCGTGGCGCCACCGTCACCGTTTGTTTCTGCTCCGTGTATAAAAATATTAAATAAATAGTTATAGGAATAATTTCGATAAAATAATAGTTTTAAAGTGTAAATCTACAAGCAATAAAGTAGTGTGATTATGGACAGCAAAAAAAATTCAGTAAAAACTTAAATATTTCCATTGATAACTTAAAGACAATGTGTACACCAAGTCCTAAAACAAGTAAATCGAAAAATAATGCGAATAAAACCCTAGTTACGGAATGTCAAAAAGAAAAAGCTAATAACAACAACAATATTATAAACAATTCCTCAACACCAACAAAATATGAGTCTAGAACAGTTAGCCTAGGTACAGGATCGACTTTTGATAAATTGCCAAGCATCGATATGAGATCCATGGAGCACTTACAAGCTGACGAACCTCAAATTGCATTACGGTTGAATGAGGCACAACAACAACAAAAACCTACATTCCATCCGCAAAACACGGAACAACACGTCAAAAATATTGTTATTCTTGGCGGTATGCAATGCAGGGGCTTATCATCGCAATTAATTCGATCCAGAATAAATAACAAATATGAGAAATACAACATAGTAGGACATATATATCCTGGAGCACCAATAGAGAAGCTATCTAACATCAGCGAGACTCTCCATCTCAGTCACGAAGATAAGTTGATCCTCTGTATAGGGGAAGAAGATACGGATCCACAAAAAGTAGGCCATGAGCTATATCATATAATCAAAAACACAAAAGCATCGGTCATAACACTTTCAGTGAGTAAAAGTAGACATCTTAACGAAGTAATGCTTAACACTTTAATTCGCAGTGTGTCCAATAAGTTTCGGAAATGCCAATTTATAAATTCAGATATGTATAACAATAATTTTAACCATGTAATGAACATTTGTTATAGGATAAATCTTGTCATAGATTCGGTTGATTATAGCGCTAGGTTTATTCCGCCAAAAAAGTCAATTTCTCCTGGTATATATGGTGCATCTGGTACATATTGTTATAATAACAGCAATCATGAACCTAACCCTAGATATATAAAAACCAAAAGAATTATACAAAAAACCATACCTGAATACTTCTCTAAAGCAAAAAACTCAAACAGAAGAAATAATACTTCTGAATTATCCATAGATACAAAATTTGAAACACATAAAAATTTTTTTCGTTTATAATAGTATCTACATAATGCACCAAAACATAGCGGGTCTAATTAGTAAATCCGATATGTTAACCGTGCAACTAAATGAGCTTGATGATTCAAATAAACCAGTTGATGTTATATGTATCTCGGAACATAATATGATATTTGATGACCAAAACCTGCTTACGCTACCCAACTATAAATTAGCCGATTGTTTCTATAGGGACAAAAGAAAGGGTGGTACGTGTATAATAGTTAAAAATATTCACGATTATGAAAAATTAAATGAAGTCAAACAATTTTCAAAACCAAATATATTCGAATTTTGCGGTATAAAATTAATACAACATGACGTGATTGTAGTTTGTGTGTACAGGGTCCCTAAGAACCAACATAAACTTCTCTATTTAGAACTTTTCTTTGAAACGCTGGATAACTTATTGTATCATATTAATAGCGGGAAAAAGATCAAAACTACGATACTTTGCGGAGACTACAACATAAACCTATTAAATAATGATCTGAGTACTAAAAAATTCTTAAATATAATTGCAGGATATAATTTAAAGGTACTAGTTAAGTCACCCACTCGCCTATCTAGCGGCACATGTATTGATAATATATTCCATAATGATCGTGGTAATATTGGTGAAGTAATAGAAACTGCTCTTTCAGATCATACCGCACAGATACTAAGATGTAATGTAAACAAAACGTGTGTTATACATTCTTGGAAAACAACAGTAAGGGATTATTCATCGGACTTGATAGCGAAATTTGTAGAGTGCATAAAGAGCCTTACATTTAGTGATGTTTACGAACAAAATGATCCGAACCTAGCATACGAAGCCTTGCTAAATTTGTTCAAGCTATTTTATGATCTTTGTTTTCCCACCAAACTTATAAATAAGACCTTAAATAAAAAACAAAAGTGGTTATCTCGAGGTATCAAAGCCTGTAGCAAAATGAAAAGAAAACTGTTGTGGGAACACCGTAAAGCAAAAAACACCGCAAGCAAGGCTAGGTACGTTGCATATGCAGTTCGATACAAAAAAATTATACATCTTACAAAGCTCGCGCAAAATAATTATTTTATTCATAATGCAAAAAGTAAAAGTAAAGCCACTTGGTCCGTTATCAATAACAATAAAGTGGAATTTCCTCGTGAACCAATAACTAAAGTTATTCATAATGGTGTAGAAATAACGGACACCATAAATATTTGCAACGTGTTCAACGATTTTTATATAGACCGTCTTAGTATGGGTAATAAAGGGCAAGCCCCACCAATTGAACGTATTTACGATACACTTTTTCTTAATCCAAGTACGCCAAATGAAGTTGCAATTATTATACAATCCCTAAAGAATACTAAAAGTACAGGAAATGACGGCCTGGCAACAAACATAATTAAAAAAGTTCACAAATATATCAGTTATCCATTATCATACATAATAAATTTATGTTTTGAAACAGGAACCTTCCCGGATAAACTGAAAACTTCAATTATAAAACCATTATATAAAAAAGGAGATAAAGAAGAAGTCAAAAACTATCGTCCGGTAGCATTGATACCAATTTTTTCCAAAATCATTGAAAAATCCATTTATTCGCGACTATATAATTTCTTCGAAAAGAAGAACATATTGGTAGATGAGCAAAAAGGTTTCAGGAAGAACAAATCTATCAATCTGGCCATATATGATTTTCTCAAAATAATTATGAATTGTGTTGACAATAAAATACCTATTTGCGCTCTATATATGGACATGACCAGGGCATTTGATTATGTCGATCATAATATATTAATAGATAAATTGGAAAAGTACGGGGTACGCGGAAAGGGGTTGGAACTATTGGCATCTTACTTAAATAACCGGCAACAATACACTGAAATAGTAAATATTGACATAAAAGCCAAAAAAGAAATTAAATACTGTTCTCAATCAAGAAAGATTAAGTACGGGGTTCCACAAGGAAGTGTACTAGGGCCTTTGTTATTTTTAATTTACATTAATGACCTTCCAAAACACCTTAGTCACCCAACTGTACTGTTTGCTGATGATAGCACGATAATTATTAAGTCAGATAAATCTTACAATTATGAACAAGAAGTAAACAATATTCTAAAACAGACAATAACGTGGTTAGAATCTAATAATTTACATATAAATCTAGGAAAAACATATTTAATGCATTTCTATCAGCGTCAATTACCACCACAACTAAATATTAATTACAATGGCTCGACGATTACAGAAGTGAATACTACCAGATTCTTGGGTTTAGTGATCGATAGCAATTTAACTTGGAAACCGCATATCGAATCGGTGTGTAAGAAAATAAACAGTTTTGCATATGCTCTTTATAAATTATCACGTTCAGCTAACCAGGAGACAGTGATCACCGCTTATCATAGTTACGTGGAATCTATACTAAGGTATGGGCTGATTTTTTGGGGTAACTCCACCGATAAAAATGACGTATTCATAGCACAAAAAAGATGTGTACGCGCTATACGTGGCCTACGTCCTAGGGACAGTTGTAAGCCACATTTTCAAGACTTAAAACTGTTAACGTTTCCATGTTTATTTATTTACGAAGTAGCCACCTTCGTTAAATGTAACAGATGTCTATTTGAATTAAAGCCCCCACGCGATTCCAGGCTGAGGCAAAAGGATACTGGTGACCTTCAAGTAGTACACGGTAATACAGCGCTTTTTAGTAAGAGTATTTTCAGGGTTGCTGCACAAATATATAATAAATTACCTAAGGAAATCAAAGCACTAGACTTACCTCTTTTCAAAAAAAAACTAAGGCAGTTTTTAATAACTAAATGTTATTATAATTTAACCGAATTTATGATTGATGACAGAGGAAATTTATAATGTTAACAATGAAGATTTTTATTGTTTCCATAAGTTAATGTAAACCTAGTCATTTAGTTACTTCAATGTTATTATAGTTTAATTGAGTATACGGCTGATAGAGTAAATTTTCAACACAAATAATAGTTTTATTAAAACTTGATGTTAATATTAATTTAGTTGTAATTAGGTGTATTATGTTCCATAATGTAGACAGGGAAGATTATTGTCTGTAAACACACTAGATTAAGAACATACTATAAAAAATTTTGTATGTCTGTACAGACACAATGTAGCGAACTACTATAATATTATCTATCATCTATTGTAACATACCTACATTGACGAAATAAACAATATTTGTATTTGTATTTGTAATATTTGTATTTTTGTATTTCATTTTTCATAATATTCTTTGTCTTGATACACATAAACATAATAATTTTGATATAATCTTAAGGGTCATTGATTTTGTTTTAGCAATTTTTCATTCTCATAATATCATATTTAGACACACAATTAATAGAAAAAAAAGGAAATAACCAAAAGAATCCAACCACTGTAAAGGTCTTGTCTGAAAAAATGTAACTAAGAGCATTAAGCTCGCGTGTCTCTGCTCGTTGTGTATGTCGTGAGTCGGTGTATATTATTATGGTACAGTGTATGTCTGCAGCCTGCAGTACCTGCAGTATGGCGGCCCGGTGTCTCTCCGCCTGCAACGCGTCGCTCTGCTCCTGCAGCTGCAGCTCCAGCTGTTGCAGGCGCTGCTGCAGCTGCGACTGCTGCTGCAAATTGGACGATCGCTCGCTTTCCAACTCCTCATTCTTCCTGTTGATTAGAAATAAAATTATATAAGGGTCAAATGTTGGTCGGTTTATCTAGGCGCCCACCCCATGGATATTTAAAGGTCATTATGAGACGTTGATATAAAGTTAACTTACTTGGCAATCTGTTCCTCGAGCTGCTGTATGTCCTGTTGATGTAGCAGGTCCCGCTGGGCCAGCTCCTTCAGTTGCCGAGCGTGTTCCTGTCCCTGCAGGTCCAGCTCGGCCAGCCTGGCCTGTAGTGCGGCAATTTCGTCCCGCGACAGTTGGTCCCGCTCCACGGCCGCCGCCAGGGCACGCTCCGCCTCCGCTGTATATATTTACAGGAACATTTTTAGTCATATCACCTTTTCGTTATAAATTACGTTCGAGTTGAAAATATCGTGCAGCCTCCATCTTGGATTTACATTTTGACAGCACCATCACTTTTACCATCCTCGAAAACCATGAAATCGATACTCATGACGAACAGTTTAAAACTTTTGTGCAGCCGCCATCTTGGATTTACATTTTGACAGCACCATCACTTTTACCATCCTCGGAAACCATGAAATCGATACTCATGACGAAAAGTTTCAACTTTTGTGCAGCCGCCATCTTGGATTAACATTTTGACAGCACCATCAGTTTTAGCATCCTCGGAAACCATGAAAACGACACCCATGACGAAAAGTTTAAAATTTCGTGCAGCCGCCATCTTGGATTTACATTATGACGTACCATCGGTTTTACCTCCCTAGAAAACCACTAAAAATACCTATGACGAAAAAGTTAATAATATTGTGCAGCTTATATCTTGACTTAAAACTACCAACTGTCAAACAGGAGATTGCAAAATATAGTCACGCTTACTAGAAAAGACTATCTAAATATAAAAATGAGTTTGTCTACAGACTGAGTGGAGATCAAGGCCTTCAGTATAAAAGACTGAAAAGACAGTGTTTCAACCTTACAAAATAGATTTACCAGGATGGAATGAGACAACAAACTGAGAAGTGTCTCTCCAAGCTTCGAAACCTTTGAAGCCAACAACAGACTGCCGCGAAGCAGTAAGACAAAAAAAATATTGTGCAGCCGCCATGTTGGATTTCCATTTTCACAACACTATCAGTTGTATTACCTTTGAAAACATGAGAACAATAAGAAAACAATATTATTACGTTAAGTATTACATTACGGCTAGCTATATTGAATAACGCATAGCTCCGAAAACTATCTGGCTGATTTTAGCTCAGGCGTATTCAATTCGGTTAATCGTTCAGCCGTTGCATTACAAAACGCACCTGGTTTGCTAAACGGCTAGCCGTCATGTAATACGGATTATAGAATCCCCCACATACCGAGTTGCAGCGCGCGCTGGCGCAGGGCGTGCGCGTGCGCGCGGTCGCGGTCCAGCGCGGCCGCCTGCAGCTGGGCCAGCTGCGCCAGCACGATCCCGGAGTGGTCGTTCACCGGCCCCGCGCCCGGCCCCGCGCCCGGCCCCGCGCCCTCGCCCGCGCCCTCGTCCGCGCGGCCCTCCAGCGCGCTGCACGCCTCGCGGGCCTCCTGCAGCTCGCGACGGAGACCTTCTTCCCGGGACACCCATTTCTTTTCCTCTGTAATAACACACCACCATTATTATCATTAGCATGTTCACTAATACATATACATCTTTTTAAAAACTACAACATACATGAAATTCAAAACAGTCAATTGAATGATTTCCACAAACAAAATAAACCTTTTCGGAGAAGACTCATACTGAAACGTTAGTGGGTCGGTTTCACCATAGCAATGTCTAAACACCTCCCCCAACCCCCGAAAGGCCAGGTAACACACTTATAACTCTTGATCTGTTTGTCTACCTGTCCCAAAAATAAGTCATTCAAACATAATATACAGACCAGCTCTCCTGTCCTCCCTGAGCTGCGCGAGCTCGGTGCGCAGCCTGTGCAGGTCCTGCTCCGCCAGCCTGGCCGAGCTCTGTGCTTGGTGCGCGGCGGTGGCGCGGCGACTGAGGTCGGCGCTGGTCCGCTGCAGCTCGGCCAGCTCGCGGCGCGCGCCCTCGAGCGACGTGCGACTGCTTTCCAACTTGTGCTGCGTGTCATCTAGCTGACTTCGCGTCTACACATTTACATTCAATTTAATTGTAATCTTTGTGATTTGTCATTATCAAATGAGCTCGCAAAGATAAGCCAAACAAAATGCAAAAGCAAAGTGCAAGATCACATTACTTTGAAGGGGCATACGCCGTTTTTATTTCTATACTACAATGAAATCATGTAATCTTTATATATATAATTCTTCTGTGAGTGTGTATGTCACTGAACTTCTCTGAAAGGACTGGACCGATTTTGATGAAATTTTTTGTATGTGCTCAAGGGGGTTTAGATTTTACCGTGGGAGAGCAAAGCTTCGGCACGAATGGGCCGGCTCGACCGGAGTAATACCACGGCCTCGCAGAAAACCGGTGTGAAGCAGCGCTTGCGCTGTGTTTCACCGAGTAAGTGAGCGTGGATGTCCAGGCCCCCCCACATCGTACTCTGAGGGGGGGCAAAACTGCACATTGCAGAGCTGGAGGCAAGAGCAGAACAACTATGGCACCCGCTACCACACTGAACGTGGACTTCTGCAACATCAGGGAATTACACACCAACCTTAATGCTGTCCATCACCACCTAGAGACAGCAAAGCCGGCCATGCCCTTTTTGACTGAGACGCAGATATCGTCTCCACCGCACACATCCTACCTCACCTACCCTGGGTATGGACTGGAACATTCCTTCCTGCCTAGGGCTGGAGTATGCCTGTACGTCAGGGACGATATCAGCTCCCGTCGCATCAGTAATCTTGAAGGTAGGGACCTGTCCATCTTATGGCTGCGTGTAGATAACGACGAACTTCGTGTCTATGCGTGCCTATATACAGCCTTGGCCAAAAGTATTAGGCACCCTCAATAAAGTTCCCACGCACCCGCATCATTTAAACAATGAGTAAATATTCTTTTGAAAGATGATCCCTGTGTCATAAACCACTATTTAAGACAATGGGCGGCAATATTTTAGTGGTTGTATAACATCTGGTGTATCAATAACGAAATATTACTTTTTTACAAATTTTATTTTTAATATTTGGTCATTCTGCATTTGGAAGTCTTCGCACAAAGATAGTACATTTGTAGTTTTGTGATTAAATTGAGAAGAGATTTATTTGAAATGCCAAAGAGAAACGAAATTAGTCTTGAAAATTGTGTAAAAATTCAACTTTTACATGAGCAAGGAAAGACTCAGAAAGAAATTGCGAAGTTGGTAAAATGTTCGCGATGCGCAGTTCAATCTGCTATTAAACGTTTTGCTGAGACTGGTACACATGCGAATAAACCAAGAACAGGGAGGAAACGCGTGACTACTAGCCGCCAGGACAGGAAACTTATCCGTGAGTCTATCAAAGACAGAAAAAAAACTTCTTCAGAGCTGGCTGCAGCTTTAACTGAAGAGACTGGTAAACCCATAAGCGCTCGGACTGCAAGACGAAGGCTCGTAGAAGCGGGTTTAAAAGGTTGCAAAGCCAGAAAGAAGCCGTGGCTTTCAGAAGAGAACAAAAAAAAACGGCTTGATTGGGCTCTGAGACACCAACATTTCACAGAGGAGGATTGGTCAAATGTACTATGGTCTGACGAATCAAACTTTGAGGTAAGTTTTATTAATTGAGTCTACAACACAATTGCATCGATTATTGTTGTAGTAGTCTTCAAACTCAAATGTTATGTAGGTTTGTAATGTGTAAATTTTATTTTGTCATTTTAGGTATTTGGAACACCAGGTGTGACGTTTGTGAGGCGACGCAGAGGCGAAGAATATCACCCAGATTGCGTAGTCCCAACCATAAAACACGGTGGAGGCAGTGTAATGATTTGGGGCTGCATGGCTGCGGATGCAGTTGGAAAAATGTTCATTTGTGAAGGTCGCATGAACAGTGAAAAATACATTAATGTACTAGAAAGTGCCCTTATACCTTCATTTTCGTGTGTTTTTGGTGACACTAATTTACACGGCGTTAAATTTCAACAGGACAACGCGCCTTGTCATAGATCAGCGACAACATTGCGCTGGTTTACTAACAATTGTATTGAACTGTTAGATTGGCCTGCCCAGTCCCCGGATCTAAATCCAATTGAACATTTGTGGGGTGTTTTAAAGAAAAAAATCAAAAACCATTCCATAACATCGAAAGCTGCATTAAAACACGCTTTAGTTCAAGAATGGGAAGAAATTACTCGAGAGGAATGCGTAAAACTTGTACGCAGTATGCCTCACAGAGTTGCTGCTGTGATAAAATCAAAGGGTGGCCCAACAAAATATTGATGTTTTTATTTGTTTTTAATGGAAATAAAGTTAATAAATCAACAAAAGTACTTTTATTTCTCTCTAAACCCAAAATTTGAAGTAATTCATTGGGTGCCTAATACTTTTGGCCAAGGCTGTAGGTCCCACAGCGGCGATAGCGAGACTGATCGACTCATGGACCACATCCAGACGGCTGTAGATCTAGTGCAGGGGCGCAGATACCTTCAGCGGGAGTAGTCTTGTTTGGCGATTTCAACGCCCATCACGCTGATTGGCCTTCCTCCAGTAAGACTGACCACGCGGGGAAATCTGTCCACGACTTTGCCCTTGCTTCTGGCCTGACACAATTGGTGACCGCGCCCACGCGAATCCCGGATGTGGAGGGCCAGAGGTCTTCACTGTTCACTGGACCTTCTGCTGACCTCTCACCCGGACGGCTACAGCGTATCCGTTGATGCCCCTCTTGGCTCATCGGACCATTGCCTTGTCCGGAGTTCTGTATCATTGACGTGCTCACCGCGACCACAAGAGGTGCGCGGTCGTCGTGTATGGCACTATAGGTCGGCAGACTGGGATGGGATGCGGTCCTTTTTTACATCCTACCCTTGGAGGCGGGTTTGTTTCTTGCAGGATGATCCCAACACCGCTGCCAATTCTGTTGCTGATGTGGTGCTGCAGGGGATGGAGCTTTTCGTCCCATCTTCTCTGGTCCCCGTCGGTGGCAGATATCGGCCCTGGTTTGGTGCTTCTACCAGAAGGGCCTCACGCAGAAAGCGGAGGGCCTACCAAGCCTGGGCCGATGCGGTAGTGTCACATGATGCAAATACCAGCGCACTTAAAAAGGAACATAACTTTGCCTCCAAGTCCTTCAAAAGAGCTATTGCGGGGGCCAAGTCGCAGCACATCGGTAGAATTGGTGAGAGGCTTGAGCGCCTTCCTTCAGGAACTCGTGCATTCTGATCACTCGCCAAAGCTATCGAGGGCAATTTCTGCAGGCTGTCATTTACACCTCTGCACATGGGTGGGGATTCGGTGGCTCATGACGCAAGGGATAAAGCTCAACTTTTGGGGGAAATCTTTGCGTCCAATTCGTCACTGGATGACGGTGGGCGCGAGCCCTCTGTTGTACCGTGGTGCGGAAGCTATATGCCGGATATACGGTTTGGCGCTTGACGTCCATAAGTCGAGCGGGCCTGATGGGATTCCACCCATTATTTGAAAATATGTGGTCCTGTGTTGGCACCAGTTCTAACACGTCTTTTTCGGCTCTCTTACTCTTCAGGCGTAGTTTCAAAGACATGGAAGACAGCTTTAGTCCATCCGATCCCTAAAAAAGATGATCGATCTAATCCGTCCAACTACAGACCGATAGCCATAACTTCCCTCTTCTCGAAAATAATGGAGTCCATTATTAACTGCCAGCTCCTGCGTTACTTGGAAGATCATCAGCTGCTTAGTGACCAGCAATACGGCTTTCGTAAAGATCGGTCTGCTGGTGATCTTCTAGTTTACCTAACGCACCGGTGGGCACAGGCGATCGAGTCTAAGGGGGAAGCGTTGGCAGTAAGTTTGGACGTGGCGAAGGCCTTCGATCGGGTTTGGCACAGAGCGCTTCTTTCGAAGCTTCCTTCCTACGGGCTTCCCGAGAAGTTATGCGAATGGGTCTCTTGCTTCCTTGAAGCATTAAGGTTGTTGTCGATGGTGAATGCTCTGACTTGCTGTCTGTAAACGCAGGCGTCCCTCAAAGCTGTGTGCTGTCGCCTACATTGTTACTTATGCATATCAATGACATGTTGCAAATCAGCGGCATTCATTGTTATGCGGATGACAGCACAGGCGATGCCTACTACACCGGGCGCGTTTACATTTCTCGGGAAAGCGTCATAGAGAGCCGAAACAGACTTGTGTCTGAAATCGAGACTTCTTTAGGGAGAATCTCTGATTGGGGTGGACTTAATTTGGTCCAGTTTAACCCCACTAAGACACAGGTCTGCGTGTTTACCGCTAAAAAACTGCCGTTGGACGTATCTCCTCAGTTTCAAAGCACCCCCCTAACTGCCTCAGCCGGTATTGGAATACTTGGTGTCAACATTTCGAGGGACGTCCAGTTTCACGGTCATCTAGATGATAAGGCCAAATTAGCCTCGAGGAAGCTTGGTGTGCTCAACAGATCGTGACAGTATTTCACCCCGGCCCAATGCCTGCTTCTATATAAGGCCCAGGTGTGACCCCACATGGAATACTGTTCTCATCTTTGGGCGGGGGCACTCTGGACCGTGTTCAGCGGCGTGCCGTTCGGATTGTTGGATGTCGGGATGTTTTGAACCGGCTAGACCCTTTGGCAATGCGTTTTTTTTTTTTAAGGGGGGGAAAATCATCGAATTTCTGCTCCCGCCTGGGTGAGGCGGGAGGGAGTGTCAGACTCTTACTGACTAAAAACCACCCCGTTCCTTCTCCTGCACGTCGAGCCGGAGCCCCGGTTACCCGTCAGGTTCTCCGCGACTTCGAATCGGCATCGGCCCTATTGGGCCCCATCTGTGGTGGTCTGATGGCTCTTTGAGGCGCGCGCGGAACGCGACGCGCCGTACGCTCGAGTCTGTTTCTGGTCGGACGGGGAGCCACCCATGCTCGCCGTCCGCAGGCCCGCGCTTACGGTGGCCGGAGATCGTCTCGCGATTCCCGATGCCCGGAGTGTCCTTCGCGATGGCTGGGTTGCGAGGAGGCAGCGCTTCGCTGCCTCACACGTCCCGCCTCCTCCTTAGCTAGCATGACTGCTTCGCAAAAGGAGGAGACGGCATCCCAGTCCCCCTCGCTCCGCATCATGGCCTGCACTAGGCCCGGACGCGAGAGGTCGCCATCGCCGATCACTTCCCTGAGGGCACGGCGGTGCTCAGCCCACGCAGGGCATTCCGCTAGTGTGTTCCACCGTGTCCTCAGGGCAGTAATGACACCCGGTCGCAGTGATGACATCCGGGCGTTTCCTCCCGCCTCATCAGACACAGGTACCTCCCGAAACTTCCATGTCCGGTGAGGACCTGCGTCAGGCGGTAGGTGAGGACGCCGTAGCGTCTCTCAAGCCACTCCTCAAAGAGGGGTCTTACCGCTGCAATGGCAGCGAGCCCATTTGGCAATGCGTAGAGATGTAGCCTCGTTGTGCATTCTCTATCGCTTATACCACGGGAAGTGCTCTGAGGAATTGTTTGACCTGATACCTGCCGTATCTTTTCGCCATCGACCCCCACGACAGAATATACATCCCCACCATATAGATGGTTGGCAGGCCACAACTGTGCGCTTCTCACGTAGTTTTCTGCCTCGCACAGCAAAACTGTGGAATGATCTGTCGTCGGCGGTATTTCCGAGCCAATACGACCTTCAAACCTTCAAGAAAAGAGCGTATTCCTTTCTAAAAGGCCGGCAACGCACCTGTGACTCCTCTGGTGTTGCAGGAGGTGTCCATGGGCAGCGCTGATCGCTTACCATTAGGATCACAAAAAAAAAAAACGAATCAGCCCGGCAGATGGCGCTGCAGTCGATGTTTAAGTTATTTATACTAAACAGCTGAACTAATTTGAATTGAATTTTTGTACAGGACAATGTCTGTTGGGTCTGCTAGTGTATTTATGTAATTTTATTGTGTAATGTTATAGAATGGCATATCTTGGCTAAATAATCCAAGGAACTTCCACAACTAAAAAGTAAAAACCGTTGGTTTTCAAAATATGTAGCCAAAAATATTGCTCATGAAAAATTATAGTCTAAATTCTAAAACATGAGCATGCAGCCATGCATAGGCATGTTTACAACACAATATATAGTTAGATGCCGGCCGCCGCGTTGCGTTACGCTATTGATAACGACTTCTGCGCGATAAGCCACACATAAAATGAAGGCATATAGCGCACAATGGCTATTTTATAACCATATACAGTTATGTCCTCATAACTCACATACTTCACGGTATGGTAGATGCAATTGCAATTCTCTGATGTCTCTCTAATTCTCAATATACTGTATGGAGTATTAAACCGTATTTCATAATATAACGCCTTACAATCTCGTCCCGTCCCATCCGTTATATGGGAAATCCTACATTTCACCAGTTGTGTGTTACACAAGGAATGATTCAATTTTCTAACTAGTAATCGTAAACAATACTCACCTCCATAAGCTCAGTCTCTAGTTTCTTGTTGGCAGTGGTGAGCCGGTACACAGCTTCAATTTGGCTGACTTCCAGCTCCTCCTTAGCTGCTATAGACCGCTTCAGCCTGTCTAACTCTGCTGACTGCTCAGCTATTTTATCTCTGAAAAGTTTAACAATAATATCAGACTATATGCAACAACATGGTTAGCTATTACATTTATCAACTTTTATTAATGCACTACAATATCTCATCACCAGTCTGAAAATGTCTAATACTAAACAATTATTGATTTAAGTTTAAGACATATCTAGGTCCATGTAAGTATAAAACATTTTCATAATTTAAACTGTTGTCAACAACACAAAGTTAGTTGCATGTGCTAATGTTTGTAAAACATTTTCAATTATTTACCTCAATCCCTTGATGACTTGTTCATTGTCCTTCTCTTTGGCCCTCAGCTTCTTGATGATATTGGAGTGCTGCAACTGCTGTCGCGCCAGCTTCTCCCCTTCTTCCTGCAGCTGAGCTATCACCTCATCCTTCTCCTTGAGTGTATTCTCCAGCTCCGAGGAGTTCTTGCGTGAAGATGATTCAGACTTAACCTGGTCCAGCTGTTTTCGCAGCTGATCCTATGGAAACATTTAAAAAAAACTTAATGAAACCTGAACCCACTATATGTGTATGACTCATAGTAACAGTTACACTATTATCATTGTTATGATGCAAACAATATGTAATAGCTTTGTTTTCTGTCCACACATGTTATTGTAACCACATTTTATTATTAATCTGAAATCTGTTGTTATCAAAGTAATCAGTATCGTAAATTAATAAGTAATTGTCTCAAGGTTTTACACAGGCTAAATATATGTTTATCTATGTAATTGGGGCAACACATAATACATACTCATTCATTCCTTGAAGATGGTTCACAAAGGGTTATATCCCATACTTACGAAAACCATACACAGTTTGGGAATGCTAAGAAGTATTTGTAAGATTAACCCGTCATATGGCTAAATGTGGATCCACGAGAGACACAAAGTATCTTCTATTGTGTATTAAGCGGTTAATAAATAAATGCTCAAACCTTTTCCCTGATTGCTTGTTGAAACTTCTTCTCCAGGGCTGACATTCTCTGTGTGTAATCTTCTGTGATAGTATTAATATCACCTCCCTCGTGCTTCAACATCAATGACTCCACTTGGCTCTTCAAGTCAGCATTGTTTTCTGCCAAGTCTGCATTATTCCTACTCATTTCCAACAGTCTGTTTTCTCTTGCTTCTAATAGCTCTGCCATTTCACAAAGCCTCCTCATCAATCTCTCATTCTCTGAGCCCTGGCTCTCATCACTCGTGTTACTCTGCACAGATGCCTCAGATAGCTCTCTGTTATGTCCCCTTATCTTTGTGGCTAAGGATTTACCTAATACTAGATCCACCAAGTTTGGGGAAGTTGTGCCATCAAACTTTGACTGTTTAAAAGCATATTTAGCAGGACTGTTCCTAAAGCCATGACCATCTCCATTAGGACTAGGAATTATTTCAATATCTGAAGAAGTTGCTGTTTCTAGCTCGTCTCCAGACGTGTGACCTGATGTCCGGTCGGACCCTATCTTGACCAAGTCACTCTTACTATCAGAGCTTATTGGAGAAGTCCTTTCCTTAACACTGCCATCTTTCTGTGAAGAGCTACTACTAGATTCATTGCACTGCTGTTTCTCAACATTGACGAATGCAGAACTTTCAGATCTCAGCATGTCACTGGAAACATTTACATTGTAGAATGATGACGAGTCACTTAATTTCTCAATGAGAACATCCTCCTGCTCTTTTTTCTGGTCTTCTGCAGTCATGTCCAAGTTAATACTGTCACCATCAGCATTTAACGTTCTATCTGACCAAGAACCGTCATTGGAAGAATTCTCGCTCAATTGCATTCTTTGAGGGACTAAGGCTTGCTCTAAATGCATCAATTCTTTTTCTATGACTTTTCTGCTTGCATCAGTTTTAATTACTTTTGTAAAAGGGCTTACAGATTTGTCATCAGTGTCCAGTACTGTGGGAGCAGTGCACTCAGATATGGAGTTGTAGGACATGGTGTCTTCATCATCATCAGCTACTAAACTAACACTGTCAGCAGTATCTGCTTTTTCAGTCTTATCACCTACTGGAGTAGACTTTTTGTCGCTGTAATCTCCAGGAGACACACAGAGAGATGATGAATTGCTTTTTTTTTCACTAGAATAACTATCGAAACCAAGGCACTCTATTGAGCTAGAGCTCACCAGACTATCAGGTAATATTTCTACAGACTCTGAGTTATGTTTCTGTCCAGTGCTACTACTGCGAGACATGGAATGCACTGAAGCCTCAGAGTCAGGTGTAGTCTTTAAGCTTTGGGACAAGACTTCTACAGAATCAGAACTATTCCTGCTTGAGACAAGTGACAATCTGTGAGACTTTGCTGAATCACGTCTCTCATCAACTTTTGGGAGTTCATCTTTTAGAGATTTGGTTATTCTGTGATCTAATGCTTCACTGTCAGACATAATGAGCTGACTTTTAGAGAACAAATCATCCTGGCTACCATATTTATGGTCAGCAATAACATTCATAGACTTAGCTTTCGGAGGTCTCACGATAGTGGAGTCTTCATCCTTAGGTTGTTCAAAGAAAGAGCCCGCAAACGAGCCCCAAATGCTCTGTGAAGTGGACTTAGACGGACTCTCTGTTACGACGGGCTGTTCCTTGATCGGAGTATTCTGTTCGCTCTCCGCACTCACTGTCAAACCCCACGACGAAAAGAAATCTGTGTTGTCTTTCTGAGAAGTGTTGCTGTGACCCGGAGACGACTTTGCGCTGGTCTGTGGCGTCGCCTCCTCTTCTGGCTCATCTCCACTTTCATCCTGGATGTCGAGCGCCTTGTCTATAGTTTTCTGTGCTTCTTTCAGCGCATTCTTAGCAAGGCTCGTAAGGCCTGACGTGTCGAACCAATTCATTGTGTCGGTACATTAGACAAAACACAGTAGAAATCACAGCTTATTCATAACACTGAATAACGTTTTACTATCACCCTTATAACCGATTCAATAACGCGATTGTTTTGAGATTATCCATGGAAATACACTTCAACTAATCACAACAAACCAGGTGACGTTTCCATTTTGTTTATATATTTCACGAAAGAATTTGCAATTGTCAAATTATTTTTATGATTTTTTTATAACGAAATGTCTGGTTACACTGGAAGAATTTAAAATTTAACAAATTAAACAATAATTTTCTAGTCGGAAGAGTGCCACGAAAAGTATGTGAACAACTGATTTGACGTTTGATAATGGCAAAAAAGAACATCATTTGACTTTGGCAGTGATCTAGATACAGAGTCGGTTTTTCGCCTACTTTGACATAGCTCCAGTGGCGCAATTGGTTAGCGCACGGTACTTATAAGACAGTAGACGTGTGAGTAATGCCGGGGTTGTGAGTTCGAGCCTCACCTGGAGCAATATTTTTTGTTGCGTTTTACTATGTCTAGTTATTTAGAAAACGTAATTTAATAATTTACGTCCCTTTATATGATTTTCAAACCATGTTTAATTTTAATTTGAAATTTTCTAATGACTTGTTCCTACACATTGGTTTTCTCTAGACAGAAATTTCCTCAGTAAGTCACTGATAACTTCAACACAAGATATTACTTCATAAAAACCATTACAAATTATTATTTATATTGTTGACCTGACTTATATTGTATTTGTAGGTGCCTATTTACTAGGACTGAAATCGCAGTAGGGACCAACTTTTTCCTCAGTCCAACCAGAATGGTGTACTTAGTGCGTAAAATAAAACAATTATGACACATTATTTACAATAGTTTATTATCTTAAAATATGTGTGTATATAGTATACATATTTATATACAGAATATAGTGAGATAGTGACAAATAAATGAATAAACATTAATTTAAATTTATTTATTTTTTACGTCAATATTTTTCTAGGTATTTTCTAGGTCTATCTAAGTAGGTAGTTAATAGTTTTTTGAGAGGCAAAACAGTAAAACTTACCTAGAAAAAAGTACTTATAGTCTAAGATCCCGTTATAGAACGACCTTCACCGAGATGCTTATTTAATGAAACGTATTTTATATTTAATTTAATATGTCAATAAATATAATCCATATGGGTTGCCTAGCAAATTTCAGTCCAGAGTATGTTTAATTAATAATTAAAAAAAAATATTTTTTTAAACATTTCACCGGTATGATTATTAGATAAATTCTATACCAATCGAAAGTATGAAGCCCATAGAATACACAAACGTTAGGTTGCCTATTCTTTTCCGGTCACAACTATCGGGTTGCCAGGTATAAACAGGTAAATCTGTACTAGCATTTTGCAACGTTCTGTTTATTGGATGAAATTTAAATCAAATTAAAGATTATTTTATTCTGAACACGGTGGTATAGGGTTGCCAGCGAAAAATAAGTCCAGAATTGCGGTTGTCGAATTTTAAAAAGTTAAATATTGCTCCGAGTGAATGTGTGCGACTGAGAGGTCCCAACCAACCATCCCATGCGATAGAAGAGGACACAGCATAGCAGCTGTGTAAAGTCCGGTCATTTAAAGAAAGAGAGTGCGCATGCTCTTTGGGCTTGGAAAAGAAAAGGATAGCGATAGACTATGCATCATTTTGGAGTAGAGTGTCGCTATAAATACAATTGAAAAAACGTGCTACTATTTATTGTTGGAAAAAATGGCAAAAAAGTGTTTTTTGTGTGGATCGGATGGTGAAATAATTGACTTTAATGATGAAACTTTCAAAAACTGTGTATTAAAGTTAGCTTTTCGTAAAAAAAAACACTTTAAATACAATTTTGTTGAGCTACCCAGTGCGTCTCTTCAATTTGTAGGTTATCATACCACGTGCTACAAGAAAGTGACCGTTTTGAATAAAAAATATAACGAAGAATTTCTTAATTTTAGTGTTGAATATACAGTAAGTACATAATAATTGAATCTTTAAAATTATCTTAGCTAATACATCTTCTATATTTTTTTCATGTTTAAATAATTGTTAGTAAAATTCGCCTATGGTTTTGTTAATTTTCGACATACATAATTTTTTTGTAATTTACTTAAAAATGGCAATCTATAACCATAATAAAACTGTAGAGAAGTCAATTTTGTACATTGAACATATTTTTAAAATTAATATTGGAGTATGATTGGTGGTCGATACTGATGCCAAAAAATGCAATAAGTATTTTTTTTGTCTGTCTGTCTGTCTGTCTGTCTGTATGTGCACGCATAAGTCAAAAAGTACTGAATAGATTTCGACCAAACTTGGCACGAATGTAGTCCATACTCCTGGGCACTAGTTTATAAATTAAACAAGAAAAAGATCTGATTTCTTTTTTTTTTTTGTAACAATTAATGAGGATGTTTTCAATCAACTATTCTTATCAAGAAGTTTATTATATCAAACATTTTCATTTAATCGCAAAATTTTTTTTTTTTTTTTAGGAGCATAACAATGTATCTACTACTGAAGAAAAATCAAAACAGTTGAACCCTAGTGTCGATTCCTGTGCTACAGTTGCTGAAAATGAAACGAGTAATGTTGAAGACCTGGCCCAAACTTCTGGGGACTCTGACACGGTAATAAAATATTTTTTGTTTTTTTTTAAGTTTCTTTAAAAAAATGATATGTAAATATGATTTTTACTCAAAGAATGATTTAATTCTTTTAGGAGCAGTCAACATCAACAGCATCGACATCAAGCAGAATTATTTGTCTTTTTTGTGACCACAGCCAAAAGAGATGCGGGAAGAAGCTGGTCAATCTTACTGTACCTAATGATGACAAAGTACCACTGCAGATAAAAAATATAGCGCAAAATTTTGGCGATTCGGTGATTCTCTCCAAACTTCAACATCAAACTATCGCGTACCATCTGCCTTGTTACGCAGTGTATCAATCGAAAAATAAGCGGTCCACGGAAGAATCTACCCATTCCAACTATAGTAAATATAGACAGTTACATCAGTTTGCCTTTCAATCCATATCGAATTTAATTGAAACAGAAATAATAGAAAACAACAAGGTTATGTACTTGGCTCAATTATTTTTAAGATACCAAGCTTTATTGTTGGAGTTTGGAAATCATGAAATTGATTTCGATGATATTCAAGATTACCGATGTGAAACCTTGCAAAAAAAGTTAATGAAGAAATTTCAGGATCGTATTACGATTGAAGCGTCAATGGGAATACGTAACAAAAAAATTGTTTATAAAACAGACATGGACGTCTCTGTAATGGCAAACAATTTCAAACTTTTGGAGACAAGAAATGATTATGAGTTCGAAAATGTAGCATATTATTTGAGAAGCTGCATTAAAAATATAGATGCTCGTCCGCTTTCTCGCAACATAACTGCTGATGATGTCATTCGTGGAGAATGTGACATTCCTAAGCAATTAATTGATTTTATACGAAATCTCATCGAAGGGCCTAACTTTTCTGATGAAGATTCAAACGGACTAAAAGTTAAAATAACATCAATATGTAGTGATATTATTTATGCTGTCACTAAGGGTGCATGTAAGCCCTCAAAAAGTTTGTCCCTTGGATTGGCAGTAAAATCTTTAACTAACTCTCGGCAAGTAATTACGATACTTAATAGGTATGGCCATACAATTGGATATAATTTGGCAGAAGAATTGGAAACCGAAATGACTTATACATCGATCCAAGATAACAAAGTTATACCAAAAGGCATCACTGCAGCAAATGGACACAGCACCCACGTGGCGTTCGACAATTTCGACGAATCCATTTACGATGAATCCATTTGATGACACTATTGACAAAGACACATTATTCAACATTTCAACCGGCAAAGCTGCGTCTAAAGAAGTTGCTGATTTCCTGCTGGACGTGAAAACAGCAGGCTATCAACAAAAAATAAATTTTATCTCAGAATGCTCTTCAACTCCTGCAAGATTCGATAAACCAATAAAACGAAACAAAATCTGCAATTTTGCTTCTCAATGTATGACTAAAGTCTTGAGTACCAAAGACAAGAACAAGAAAGTATTATTGAAAATGGAACGAGACGTATTTGGGCGACTTTTGGCAATAAGCCTAAAGAAACAAATTAATCTCGAATTTTGCTTGACTTTCCCACTAGCACCATTGCCTCCTGCTCTTTTTTCCTGTACCGGAGAGATGTTAAAAACTTCAAAATCAACGTTAGCAAAGGTTTTGAAATCCAAAACTGAAATGGTTGAGCCAACACATATCAACGTTGAAATAATAGATGGCTTTTATTACTTGCATCTAATCGGATCTTCTATACCTCAAACTTTTGATAAAATTGCAGAGGCAATACTCATAAAAATATGTTCAACAAACGCTACAGAAATACATTTAATTTTTGATCGCTACTTATCACCGTCAATCAAAGATTGCGAACGTGAGAGCAGGAAAGAATTTGATATTTCATACAAAATTTCGGGACCTCATCAAACTAGACCAAAAAATTTTTTGCAAAGCCTTAAAAACTATCGCTTTAAAGAGGCTCTGGTGCTGTTTCTGGCTGATTATTGGGAAAATGATCATTTGGTATCAATAATCCAAAACAAAAAAATCTTTTTAACCGTTGACCATCACTGCTACTCTTATCAAGTTCAGGAAAATTCCGTAAAAAAAAGTGAAGAAAGTAATTATGAATGTCATCATGAAGAGGCAGATACAAGGATTATTTTTCATGCTTCTAAAGCGGAACCAGGCTCAAGGATTTTAATTAAAGCCTCTGATACTGACGTTTTGATAATTTTGTTAGGAAATATGCACAAACTTATCGAATCAGAAATTTGGCTTGCCTGTTCAGCAACTAGAAAGACTAATAATCAAACTGTTGATTGCATTAATTGCACGGATTTAGCGTTGAAGTTGGGAATTAAATTATGCCAAAGTCTTCCCGCCTACCACGCATTTACAGGTTGCGATTATACGGCAGCCTTTTACAACAAAGGGAAAGTAAAACCTTTTAAGCAATTTTCAAAAAATGAAAAATATCAAACAGTTTTTGCATCATTAACGGATGCTGCTGATATTTTCAATACTGAAAAAATGAAGACCGTTCAAGAATTTACGGCTATTATGTACGGTATCAGGAACTGCACCAGTGTGAATGATGCGAGACATCGTATTTTTATGAAAAATTATTCTGCAAAAGAAGACAGCGAGTACTTTTTAAAAAAAATAAAAGGCTTCGACTCCAACTCCATACCACCATGCTGGATATCATTAACTCAGAAAATTTTACGAACTATTTTCGTAAATTCCATGTGGCTTAATGCAACGGAACCAATATGCGTGAAACTTGAGCCTGAGAACTGCGGATGGTACTTAGATGAATATTTAAAACCAGTAGGATTCATTGGGGATCATACACCTTTAAAAATAGAAGACATTGTCGAAAAAGGTGAAACAGAGAGTAATGACGAAGAAGATTCAGAAGTTGAAGATCGTAGTCCGATGGAGTCCAATGACTCGGATTCCGAATAATTTAAAAAAAAATGTATTTTTAATTTTTTACAATAAATAGAAGTAATTTTTTAATTTTTGTTTTTTTTTATTGTCTCTTCTTATATTTTTCAATCAATATTTTTAATTATTAGAGTAGTATTATATATGTATCACTATAACCTTCTTTTTTACTAAAGATGTATATATACTTCAGTGTCACATAAAAAATATACACATAAATAATTAATTGATAAAAAAAATTAATAAATAACTTTTTCTCTATTTTAATAATAAACTACTCCAAAATGATGCATAGTCTATCGCTATCCTTTTCTTTTCCAAGCCCAAAGAGCATGCGCACTCTCTTTCTTTAAATGGCCGGACTTTACACAGCTGCTATGCTGTGTCCTCTTCTATCGCATGGGATGGTTGGTTGGGACCTCTCAGTCGCACACATTCACTCGGAGCAATATTTAACTTTTTAAAATTCGACAACCGCAATTCTGGACTTATTTTTCGCTGGCAACCCTATACCACCGTGTTCAGAATAAAATAATCTTTAATTTGATTTAAATTTCATCCAATAAACAGAACGTTGCAAAATGCTAGTACAGATTTACCTGTTTATACCTGGCAACCCGATAGTTGTGACCGGAAAAGAATAGGCAACCTAACGTTTGTGTATTCTATGGGCTTCATACTTTCGATTGGTATAGAATTTATCTAATAATCATACCGGTGAAATGTTTAAAAAAATATTTTTTTTTAATTATTAATTAAACATACTCTGGACTGAAATTTGCTAGGCAACCCATATGGATTATATTTATTGACATATTAAATTAAATATAAAATACGTTTCATTAAATAAGCATCTCGGTGAAGGTCGTTCTATAACGGGATCTTATACTATTACTATTGTTTGGAAAAAGTAAACTCTACCTATAATACTTTTTAAATTACTTAATTTATTTCAGGATGGTTTATTTCTCATGGACATTTAATCCGTTGAATTCAGTTTGGCAAATCATGATAAGATTTACTCTTGCTATACTGTAACAATTTTAAAACTTTAGGTGCAGTATGCATTGATAAGCAAATATTTTCAGTTAAAAATCAAATTAGCATTCAACATAACATTTCTTGTTGTTAAAAAATATGGGGCTCTTGTCGATATTCATAATAATACGACTTTTAACAGGCATAATAAAACAAGCAAACTTCTGGTCATTGATAATCAAGCACATTTTATTATTCCACAGGTATAAATAACGTTGCATTGACAACACACATTGGATAACCTTATAAAGTGAAAATAAATTAGGTATGTTTAATAGATAAATAATAGGTCATTTTACAGTTTTCTTTTTTGCTAAATCTAATTATAAATAGATTTAAACATCATTCATATCCTGTTGTGATAAAAATAGAATTTAATAATAAACTGAAACGCGATTTTCATTTTAGCTTTTAGCAGAATACAAGTTATTAAAATAATCGTAATGCTAAAATAAAATAATTTAACGAATAGATTGACTGAAAATGTATTGACTATGATATTTTTAAATTCGTGATTGTGTAATAAATAAGTTTCTATATAAAATATTAGTATATTGCATTACTTTTCTGGACAGAAGACCTGATTATAAATAATTTGATAAATAAACAAATAAAATTCACCTAAAGAACTGCCAACATTTTGTTTTGAAAATCATATCACAAAGGTATATTTAATAATTATAACATAACATAACATCACGCCTTTTATCCTCGAAGGGGTAGGCAGAGGTGCACATTACACGACTGTACAATGTAACACCCACTTTTCATTATTTATGTTATGAGTCCCATGTAATAGGGGGTGAGCCTATTGCCATATACCGGGCACAGTTCCAGACTCCGTGCTACTACTGAGAATTTTTTTTAAAACTCAGTAATACTTTGCCCGACCCGGGAATCGAACCCGAGACCCCTTGCTCGGCAGTCGCAATTAAGACCACTCGGCCAACGAGGCAGTCATGTCTATTTTATAATGACTATAACTATAAATAGAATAAGTACTAAGACTGCACACAATGATTTCTGGTAAAAAAACGTGTATGAAAAATTGGTCAAGGTGTTTCCTATGGAAATTAAAATTAAAATTTAAGAAAGAAGATAGAATAAGAATGTTTATATTGGCGACTCGTGTAAATCGCCATTAGAATTAAGATTTTCCAACCACAATAGTTGTAAAGACAAATATTTATACAAGTGTTGGCTTATGAATGCACAGTGTTATATTGAAAACAAATAACTTGGTACTCAAGCCACAAATTTTAGCACAATAATAATACGTGTCCTCTAACAACCATATAAGACAATCATTGCATTACCCACAACACATGTGCCTGTGTGAATATACCGATTTTTTTAAATACTACACATTGTTTTAAAAACTGTCAGCACAAAAAGCGAAAATGCATTTTGGTATGCAGATATTGATGATTTTTAAAAATTGTCACCAATCAAATTAAATCAGTTTTAAACATATTTTAGTTTATCAAAATGTATTTTCATCTCAAAACTAGATGATCAAGAGATATATGTAGTTGTACCATTGTGCACAAGTCTATTGGAACTAAATAATATTTATAATGTATATTACACCACCCCCGTGTTACCAGTAGTAGGGGGCGCTGGCTGTGAGAACATGAAGGTGCTCGCATTCTGGAATATTTGCTTCTTCACAAACTCTGTGGTGGCAGATTTAAGGTTCTCCTTGGCTCCGAACTTGCACTTGATGTAGCCATACAGGTTGGCTCCCGTCAGGGTTAGTGCGATGAGGACCAGCAGCTGAGGAACAGAGTAGACGCAATGGAAATAATGATTGCAAGTAACACATACATTTGGTTGAGTTCATGTCACTATTAATAATATTTTGTAAAGTAAAGCAAAGGTTACAGATTAAATGAAATAAATGTTTGAACTTTGAACAACATTTTGTCATTTTTCAATTGGATATGGGACATGTCATTAAAACACATAAATTAATTAATTGGAATAACTGCTTTTATTTGAAGGCACACTAGCATCACGACATTAGTGTGTGTTATGCCTAACTATTGTGAGTGGAATTAGTATAAAAATGGTTCTGGTAAAAATTACCAGAAGTATAACATTAATAATTGCGGTTAATCACTGTTGTTAATGACTAAGCCATGTTTTACAATCCTTATCTGATAAAAGCATTTTTAAAATTGTGTTGTTAGTGTTTCTTGTAAAAAATAATGTATCTACTTGCAAAAATTATTGTTTGGAAAACTACATAATACATATTGTGTAGAGAAAAACTATTTAGTCAATAATTATATTATTTATAACAACATACCATCCACTTGAATTTAAGTCCAAACAAACAGAAGATGAAGAAAGTTGACCAGATTGCTGGGCAGAGGATCAGACCCATCCAGAACAGTCGGCTCTCATTCTGGTTTACTCGATTCTGGAATGTAAAACACACATAAATTAGATTTAGTTTAGTTGAAATAAAATTTCACAAAATGTTAGTAAAGCATGCAGTCCGACTGTATTAGTGTAATATTTTCAAAACACTCACATTTACCTGTTTTGTCTCAAACACCCAATGTGATTTGCCATCATCATCTACATAGTTCCACCATCGCAACCCAACTAATAGGCGCCCTGAAATAATATGAATTAATTTTAGTCAATCATACAACAACATAAATAATACCCAGAATACCTTGTTGTATTTAGTGCTTCATACTTTCAGACTGCAAAGTCCTTGGATCTAATTTCTAGTACTTTAAGTTTTTCAAACTGTTTGTCAAGCATGGAGGCCCATTTTAAGTAGAGGAAACCCATGATGCAGTCCAACTTTGGACCTGTCACAGGCTATTAATGAAAATATAATAATAAAACTGTTGAAACAAGACCTACCACTAATATTCTTGACAGTCCAGAAGTCAGCAGACAGTAACAGGACAACTAGCACAAAGCTGGCAATGAAGGAGTCGGAGAACCAGCCGCACAACATGTACACCACTATAGCGGAGCATCGGAACACTAGGTGGAAGAAAACTATGTAAGGGTGCCTGGAAAATACGAGTTATACCATTATTAAACTCCAACACAACAACATACATGTCATTAGATAATATACTATACAATATAGTTGTCTAGCTAGACAACAAGTACAATACTGACATCCTGTTTCTGTTATCATAAAAGCCTCAACCTCCTAAACAAAGTAGGCAAAGAATTGCGTCAGAGAGCATCGTATCAGGAGGTGGAGAAAGAATGACATTAAAATTCCCATTAGGATCTGGAATACTTACACAAACTGCTTAGTAGCATTGTCTTCTTCCCCAAAGGCGAGGGTGTCGTCGTCTAGCAGCGGCACCTGCGGCACACCTGGCTGTAAGTAGCGCGGTAACAACACTACATCAGCTCAAGCCGTGCAAAGCAAATCAACTCCATCCACTATACTCTATAGAGCTTGAAATTAACTTCTTTCTACATAATTAATTGCAAATCAAAAGAGCTAGGGAGTAAATATTATGATTGACTATAACACAATTATAATGTCGATGACAATGGTCTTGCAAATTAGGGAATGTTATAAAAATTAATATGAAACAGTTTCCAAACATGTCATATGTCGTTAAAATTCCAAACTCAAGTACTTACTGTCGCTGAATTCATTGCTGGGTTATTCATCCTCCTTTCTTTGTAACTAATACTTTTATAATGCTTATTTTATTAATTAAAATATTGTTAATCGTATAGGTACTATATAGTAATTCGTCATCGATTTATATCAATTTTAAATGCAAGTTTGTTTAGTGTTTTGACATTTACACTAGACGAATACGGAATAGCTAGATTGAAATTACGTTTTGTAAAACAGAGAGAAAACCAATATAATGCTTCGTTTTCTAATAATAATGATAAAAATTGTGATTTGTGAAATATTATCACTAATTCTGACAATGACAGCTTTGACAAATGAAGCTGATGACATGTCAGATTAGGGATCCCCAAGCTTGAAAAGAAACCACAAATAAATTCTTCAACAAACTTTTTAAAGATTGAAAGAGATGGGTCTCGTTGTGTAACGCATTTTACGCGTTGCTTTTTAATAATATAAAGTCAATATTTACTCATTTTAAAGAAAAGATAACTTTTATCGACATCTGATGAGTACTTAGGTAGGTACCTAATAGTAGAAATTAATAAAAAGTTAATAAGTTTTTAAAATAAGATTTATGTGTTCAATGGTAACGTACCTACGGGCCTAAGAAGACCTTGAATAAACTGCTAAAGCTAAACTGATAAGTAATTTTAAAATAGGCAATAAGATTCTGAAATGGAGGCCACGTACGTACCGGCAAACCACACACAAGTACAGTCTATCGATATACGACTTGTCTAACCTGATAAAACTAACAGGAAACGGCTGGTCACTTCTTTTAAGGCGAACAAAATCATTGGGAAAATAGGCCCATGACTATGATCAGCACTAGCAGTTGATTTCTTGTGGCTTGTAGCCAGTTGTTTTGTGGCTAAGATGTGACGATGATGATGATGCTGTTGAATTTTAAAAACGAAAGGCTAAATTAGTAGATAAAGATGTAAAATACCTATGTCAATGTATAGAATTTTTTTACTTACAGTGCATAGAGATGAAAAATAACATTTTTGCATAATATTTTAACATGGAAGCTTGATTTAATGGATGACTGATATTAATAGTGGAAAATAACAGATGCAGACATAATTATATTGAAATATTATGATCTTGTACCTTAAAAGTGCAAAAATAATTGTATGAACTATATCTAATAAAAAAAAAATATACTCTTTATTTCGGACCAGAAGCATCCATAGGTTATTAGTAGTCTAATGCGTCTTCAATTTATTTTTGGTATTAATTTGTAAATAATATATAATTATAATTTAGAATTTAAAATGAACGCATCTTGGTTCCTTTTCAAACGAATATTGTCTTGCAGAAAATGGAAATAGTTACTTAGTTTGAGTTCAAAGCGAAGTGACAATAAAATTGTTTTCTTAAATAACTTATATTAATTATTGTGTAATATTCCATAGCAATTTGGATAAACAAATTCCATATTATTTTATAGTTTTTGAACGAAGGTTGCGCATATCGCAGAACACCCGTTCTAACTTCACTGAAGTAAAAAAAAAGATACACCTGTCAAAATTTTGCAGCAGGGCACATGCGAAGGCTGTTTACAATTTTGCAACATACTTGTGTTTGTGACTATTGTGTTATTTTTGTAGCTTAAAGTTACATTATTCTTCTGTGTCTTACGATGTCTTCCGCCGGCGCGGTTGTCGGTTCCCGCGTGTGGTCGTGATTCTCGGTTTTAGTGCGTGACAGGTGCGAATTTTGCGTAACGGAGTCGCGATGGGCGCAAAGGCGAGCACCGCCAACGGGGGGCAGAGTCCGCGCACCAGGACATTCTCCACGAGCTCCAGCTCTGAGGTGGTGTCCAGCGGCGCGGGGTTCAGCCTGTTGAGAGCGATACCCGGGATACAAGTGACGAACGACCGTCAGCGAGCCAGGTCGCTATCTTCCGTTCCTGACCTGCACGCGTCTCACGAGGCCATCGCGATCCCGCCTAACTCGCAGAGCTACGAAGCTTCAGCCGCCGCCAGCCCCGACACAGACTCGAGCTCGAACGAGGAGGCGGGCCCTGTGCCCGGCACCTCTCTTGCTTTGGGCCGGGTCTACGCCACGCACTCCCTGCCTTCACATATCTGGTCAATAAACGGTGAGTACCTAGCAGTAAGTTTCTGATTAATTAACAGAATGTGAGGGTACTTTACTTGTGTTAAATGTTAGGTAATCATTGTTGTTGTTTCATCAGATGATAATTTATCTTAATTTGTTGACATTTATGTGCCAAGCTTCAAGTCTGTGTTCAGTTACCTGAATGACATTCCTACAAAGAAAGTATAAGTAAGGTAAACTACATGTTCACAAGTTCTCAGATAATCAAGGTAAGGTCTGTATTTGGCTACCAGTTCTTTGTTGAGCCAACAGTTTAATACATTACTAGCACACTTATATCCAATACACATTTATAGTGAGCCTTTGAATTATCTAAAATAGGTAATTGAAAAGCTAAAGAATTATTAATACCTCCAAGTAGGAAACTGGCTACTTAAAATATTTTTTAATTTATTATTACTAGTCACTAGTGAGTAGAAATAAGATTATCTTGGCATGTCTGTGATGTCTGTCTACAATCAGATATATTAAGTTTATGATAAAATTAATAATATAACAATTGATTGTGGTATAATAATATTTGAAATGAATCATGTGATAATGTCTGAAAATAAGCTTGTATATGAGAAATACTGACAGATGCACGATTATGAGTGGTGATAGGCTACATAGTATTTTCTTTCATCCAAACAATGTTCTGTTGAGCTAGTTGTTATACTATTCCCAATTATTTATTAACTCGTCGAGTACCGGTTTTGTAGACACAATTATAGAACAATAGGTTGCGGTCACCGGTGACCGCTTGGTGTTTGACAGTTTAACTCGTCGAGTACCGTCTTTGTAGACACAATTATAGAACAATAGGTTGCGGTCACCGGTGACCGCTTGGTGTTTGACAGTTTAATATGAATAACAAAAGCCCAGATTACCCTACAATTTACATATTTTTAGACAAATCTTATCTTATACAAAGGACCCGAATGGATGTGAGATTAGATATTCCTTATTTACCTAGTTAGTACATTATTCTCAAAATTTAATCAGTGGCATTATTAATTCCAATGATGCACACATTACTAGAGTTGAGGTGCACTTTAAATAAAAAAACTCAAATAATCGGTAATTACTTCATTTTAACAGATCGGAGATTATGGTAATCAACAAGGCAGTAGAGCAGTAATTTAATAACAATAAAGTAATTACATAATAATGGAATTATGTTGTAATAGGATATAAATAATATTATAAATAAATAATAACTTTATCTGCAGTGTGTTAACATTGACCGTGAAATCTGTTTGTAGTTCATATTATTATGTACGGTGAATGTGTAATGAGGCATCCATTTAGGAATTGTTACATAATAGGTCCCAAATAGATTCGATTGAATATTCAATGAGAGAGGCCGCTCCGTCATTATATTAGGTGTTATTGAAAACTATAGGGTTCGTAATGTTTTGTTCTCTGTTTTATTTTTAATAAAAACTATATGGTTATATTGTTACTAAACTATGACGTTTTGAGGTATTGATGTATGGTATATAAGGTTTTGTATGATTATAAAAATTAACAGGAGAAACAAGGTTCATTATGCTTGTTTATTTACTTGATTAGTTTTTTTACCTTAACTCGTTGAGTACCATCATTATAAACACAAAGAATAATAGGTTGCGGTCACCGGTGACCACTCGGTGTTTGACAGTTTAAGCAAGATAAAAAAGTTATTTATGTCATAGAGTCATAATAATTATGATATCTAAAAGAAATCATGGCTGTTTCTGATTATTTATTGGCTTCAAAATACATATTATTAATAATTGTTTGAGTTTGGAAACAAGTTCACATGCATAGATTTCGGGTATTAAACTCTTCTATAGGTATACTATATTAAAAAAAGAGACATACAACGAAACTGATTTCCCTAAGCAATGACTTGCATTTATTAACAAATTATAGGTAATATTAATTACTATTATACATAGATAATCCATCTGCTAAAGTGATACATTTTGATCATAACATTTATGTTATGAGTAACTTTTGTTTTATTATTGCTGATCATTTACAGTTCAGATCCAACACAGGACTTTATATTGTGGTTGTGAAGAAAAATTTTAATGATTGTGTAATGTCAAATTCAGAATATTGATTATTTAGATATTACTTTATTCACAACTATAAGTTAGTATTATGTATCAGGTAAAAAATACCACAGCTTGCACCCTCGTTACAATGTAAACACATCTGTCCTAAATTCTGAGTACGTAGCAGTGGATACATTCAACAACACTCGTTCGGGAGCGCGCGTTTAGTGCATCAGTACGGTAAACATCGGGACCACTGTTTCTTGAGTGTTCACATAAAATATTTCTGGCACGTCTGCCGCAACTATTGAAATAGTTTGTTCACCTCGTTCACAATGGACAGACACGGGCATTACTTGTCACGTTATTGAGCTATTACCGCGCTATTTCTGCCTACCTCACTACGGAGCGGTCGTGACAGCGACATCACTATTAACTCCCGTGCGTCTACGCGTCTGGGAGCGACTTTCTCGTACTATAATAAATCGCGGCCACTTTTCCGGGTTGAGGCGCACGCGCTTTAGTCGTTCAGTCGTGTTCGGACTACCGCAGCGCTCGCACCGCCACCACTATGTACAGACGCCGCTACCGCACCACCCTCGGGCTCGGGCTCGGCTCCTCCTTCTCCTCCTCGTTCTCGACGACGCTGTCGTTCCGCACCACCACTACCACCACCACGTCCGCCACCGACACTGTCAGGTCGGACGCGCGCGCCACTGCCGCTAAGCTCAAATCCAAGTATGAAAACGCCGGCACAGCGCAAGGTGCGTGTCTTACTAACGTGTGTGCGACTAATACCCATTCTCTTGTGATTTCGGAAAACTATAACATGTACGTGTTTATTTTCCTCGCTCATATCCCGAGGAGTAGTATCTGATCGCAACCTCTTTGTTAGTTTTCCTCATGTGAGGGATGTTGGTTGTGATTGCCCATTCCAACTATATTTGTTTCCCCACCCTTTATTGTAACAGTTCTATATTTGATAACATGAATTTCATGAACGAACATGGCCACATTTTCCTGCTCGAGATAAAATGTTTCGTGATAACTTTTGCGAGCTTTTAATATTATCGTTTTATCAGAGCTACAAAAGTGCTTTAAACATATTGTATCTGGGTGGATTTTGTTCGTGCTTTTATTAATTTTCGTCTAGACTTTGGA